GCCCACACTCCTACTGCTTCCTCCCACAGTGATCTTGCTTAAGCCTAAGTCCCAGTTTCCTTATCTTAAGAACAGAGATGCTGCTGCTACCACCACCACCTGGGTGGTGCAGCTGCAACTGATGCTTTCAGTGTCCCTGACAATAGAATTAAATAGAGGCTTCAGAATCCTGCCCCTACCCTCTTTAAAGCTTTTCATTCCACTGGTTCTGCAGAGTCAAAAATCAGTGGACCACGGAAAGGCTCTCCAATTTCCAGCAAAGGCATTTCTAATACCTTAAATAAAGGTGCTATACCATTCTCTCTCTTTCTCCTCTCTCTCTCTCTTTTGAGTTGGGGTCTCACTCTGTCACCCAGGCAGGAGGGCAGTGGCACGATCAGGGCTCACTGCAGCCTCAGCCTCCTGGGTTCAGGCAATCCTACCTCAGTCTCCCGAGTAGCTGGGACTACAGGTTGCAAAGCCACCATGCCCAGCTAATTTTTTATTTTTGGTAGAGTTGAAGTCTCGCTATGTTGCCTAGGCTGGTCTCAAACTCCTGAGCTCAAGAAATCCTCCCACCTCAGCCTCCCAAAGTGCTGGGATTACAGGTATGAGCCATTACACCCAGCCATACACCATTCTCTTAAAAGTCTAAAACAACCAGTTTGCTATTAGTCATCCATGAAATTAAGCCATCTTTGGGTGAGCATCTTCTATATGTCCCAATTAGATTTTAGCAACCTAAGATAGAAATTGTGCACTTTTTCTTTTGTATCTTCTTAAATATTTCAAATATATTAGCTGACTGACTAGCCAAGATGCCAACTTACACCAGTAGTGGCTAAACTCTGTGATCAGATTAGTGTAATTCCTTCATTCTTTCATCAAATATTTACTGAGTACCAGATGCTCTTCTAGGGGCTTGAGACATAGCTGAGGTTTCTGCTTTGTGCGATTTTGTCCTTAATAATATACTCATTAATTTTCAGTTAAATGATAAATATATGGACAACCAAGTGAGATTTTCATAAAACTAAACATAATCAGCTTCTAAATTCTGACATTATTTCCTTTCTATACTTTTTTGGTGTTAAAATGCTCCTTCAATTTTGAAATGATGAAAATACTTTTTTTTTAGATTAGAAAATGTAGTTTATTTAGAAAGTAAATTAGAGAAAGAGGAGATTCACCTCCCAAAGGTAGGGCAGGGGCCAAAGCCGAGAAACATGGCCTGGCCATAGCTCAAAGAACACATGGCCACACCATAGCTTAGCCTATAATACATTTTATTTAATTTTTTATACATTTTATTTCTTATTTTATTTATTTTTGTTTTTTTGAGTTGGAGTCTCACTCTGTTGCCCAGACTGGAGTGCAGTGGCCACTCCCGGCCACCTCAGCCTCGACCTGCTGGGCTCTGGTGATCCTTCCACCTCAGCCTTCCAAGTAGCTATAACTACAGGTGTGCGCTGCCATGCCTGGCTAATTTTTGTTTGTTTGTTTATGTAGAGATGAGAGCTCACCAAGTTGCCCAGGTGGGTCTCGAACCCGCGGGCTCAGGCAATCCACTCCTCAGCCTCCCAAGGTGCGGGATTACAGGCTGAGCCACCGAGTCTGGCTTTTTTATACATTTTAAATATCCTAATTTTTTTTTTTTTTGAGTTGGAGTCTCTCACTGTTGCCCAGGCTGCAGTCCAGAGGCATGCTTATGGCCACCCCGGCTTTGACCTGCTAGGTTTAGCTGATCCTTCCACCTCAGCCTTCCAAGTAGCCAGAACTACAGGCACACACTACCGTGCCTGGCTAATTTTTAAATTTATTGTAGAGATGAGGTCTTGCGAAGTTGCCCAGGCTGTTACTGAACCCATGGGCTCAGGCAATTCTCTCACCTCGGCCTCCTAAAGTGCTGGGATTACAGGCTTGAACCACTGCACCCGGCTAATTATCCTAATTTGATCAACTAAAAAGATAACAACCTTAAGTTGGCCCTCTAATATTTTTCTTCCAATTTTACTACTGTGAAATCTGAAGCAGAGAACTATACTAATTCAGGCCAGTTCTGCAACTTCTTAAAATGCCAACTCTTAAACAAAATTACAATGTTTTAAAGAAAAGGAATTTAAGCAAATTCAATGCCTTCTAAGTCCAACGTAGATTAAAGCAATATCTGTAGAGTTTGCCTATTTAGGCAATGCCACTGAAGACAGAGTTAGGAGGAAAAGGGTATCAATAGTTTTCGTGAGCCAATATCAATACAAGTCAGCTCCAAGACATGACTGCCCCAGCTAATATTAAAAACAGTATCTAAGCCAGACTTGGTGGCTCAGCCTGTAATCTCACGCTTTGGGAGGCTGAGGTGAGTGGATTGCCTGAGCCCGCGGGTTCGAGACCCGCCTGGGCAACTTGGCAAGACCTCATCTCTACAATAAATCAAAAAATTAGCCGGGTGTAGCAGCGCACACCTGTAGTTCCGGCTACTTGGAAGGCTGGGGCGGAAGGATCGCCAGAGCCCAGCAGGTTGAGGCTGCGGTGGCCTGGAGCGGCCACTGCACTCCAGTCTGGGTGACAGAGTGAGATTCCAACTCAAAAAAAAAAAAAAAAAGAAGCACAATTAGCCAGGCTCGGTGGCTCAACCTGTAATCCCATGCTTTGGGAGGCTGAGGTGAGTGGATTGCCTGAGTCCGTGGATTTGAGACCTGCCTGGGCAACTTGGCGAGACCTCATCTCTACAATAAACCAAAAAATTAGCCAGGCATGGTAGTGCGCGCCTATAGTTCCAGCTACTTGGAAGGCTGAGCAGAAGGATCGCCGGAGCCCAGCAAGTCGAAGCTGCGGTGGCTGGGAGCAGCCACTACACTCCAGTCTGGGGACAGAGTGAGACTCCAACTCAAAAAAAAAAAGAAAGCACAATTTTGCTGTAAGTGCTTTTCTAAAATGAGTACTTCCAGAGGAGTTCAACAGCCTTTATTTAGTCCAAAAGAAACACAAACAGGCCAGGCGCGATGGCTCACACCTATAATCCCAGCACTTCGGGAGGCTGAGGCAAGAGGATTGCCTGAGCCCATGGGTTTGAGACCAGCCTGGGCAACTTGATGAGACCTCATCTCTACAGTAAATCAAAAAATTAGTTGGGCGTGGTGTCTCATGTCTGTAATTCCAGCTACTTGGAAGGCTGAGGTAGATCACCTGAGCTGGTCGAGGCTGCGGTGGCCATGAGCATGCCACTGCACTCCAGCCTGGGCAACAGAGTGAGATTCCAACTCAAAAAAAAAAAAAAAAAAACACACACACACACACACACACACACAAATATCCTCTGATGCTCTTCCCTTTGCTTCTTGAGGTGGCAGCTTAGACCACTGATTTTTAGGCCTTCTTTTCTAATACACACATTAAAAGGCTATAAAGTTATGCTGAGCATGGTGGCTCATGCTTGTAATCCCAGCATGTTGGGAGGCTGAAGTGGGAGGGTCATTTGAGGCCAAGAATTTGAGACCAGCCTGGACAATATAGTGAGAATCTGTCTCTAAAACAATTATAAAAATAAAAAATACAAAATGTTTACATTTTAAAAATATAAAATTATTTCTAATTACTGCTTTAGCTGTATCCCACACTTTTTTTTTTAAATCAAGGTCTCATTCTGTCACTCAGACTGGAGGGCAGTGGTATGATCCACCTCCTGAGCTCAGGTGATCCTTCTGCCTCAGCCTCTCGAGTAGGTGGGACAACAGGTGTATGCCACCACACCCAGCTACTTTTTTTTTTTTTTTTTTGGGTAGAGATGAGGTTTCCCTATGTTGGTCAAGATGGTCTCAAACTCCTGTGCTCAAGTAATCCTCCCACATTGGCCTTCCAAAGTATGAGCCACTGCACCTGGAGAGAATATATTTTTTAAAACCCCAAAACCTTCCACAAATCACTAAGAAAAAGCAACAATATGATAGAAAAATGAGCAAAAAAAGATGAACAGGAAATTGACAGAAAACTCAAATGGTCAATAAAAGTGTGAAAAGATGCTCAACCTCATTAGTAATTAGAAAAATGTTAAAAACAATTTCTTTGAGTCGGTTCTCACTCTGTCTCCCAGGCTGGGGTGCAGTGATAGGATCACAGCTCACCACAGCCTCGATCTCCTGGACTCAGGTGATCCTCTTACCCCAGCCTCCCAAGTAGCTGGGACCACCATGCCTGATTAATTTTTTTGATTTTTTTTGTGGGATAAGGTCTCGCTATGTTGCCTAGTTTGGTCTTGAACTCCTAGGCTCAAGTTATCCTCCTGCTTCAGCCTCCCAAAGTGCTAGTATCACAGGCACAAGCCACTATGCCTGGACTGGAAAATATAAATTTTTTTTTTTTTTTTTTTTGAGTTAGAGTCTCACTCTGTCGCCCAGATTGGAGTGCAGTGGCCGCTCCCAGCCACCGCAGCCTCGACCTGCTGGGCTCCGGCGATCCTTCTGCCTCAGCCTTCCGAGTAGCC